ACAACCTGGGCATGTGCCCTGACGGGGAATCGAACATGCGACCTCTTTGTGCAAGGTCAATGCTCAACCACTGAGCCACACCGGCTGGGCAATCTTGAGCTTTCTTAAAAGTGCATAACACCAGTTAGAAAGTAAAAGCATTTGGTAACTGGACACCACACAAACACTTCCAATTTACATCTTATCTTCTTCCTAAAGCTGTATCCCTTTACTATTCCTGCTCTGATACAGTGATGTGGCTATCCCCATGATCTCCAAAACTAGAAACAAAACTCAGTTCCTCCTCATCTGTCCATTCCTACACCCACTTAGTGGCAAATTCTGTAGACTGTTCCTTAGAAGTATCTGTCACATTTTGCCTTTTTTCTCGTCACGAACTACTTCTGTTCTCGTCCGGGTGTTTTTTGTCTTTTGCTTCTCTTATTGCAAAGTCTCCTAACTTTATTGTAGTCCTTTCATACCCTCAATATTACTTCTTTCCAGTGAGTCTTCCACAGGTCTTCACCAGATTCGTCTTTTAAAAAAATCTGATGAGGTGACTTGCCCAATAACTAACAAAGAAAATAGAGCCAGATTCCTAGATACAGAGAATAGACTGACATCTGTTAGAGGGCAGGGATTGGGGGGCTGGGTGGAAAAGGTGAAGGGATTAAGCAAAGAAAATGAACCTCATAGCTCTGGCTGGTTTGGCTCAGCAGTTAGAGCGGCGGCCTATGGACCGATGAATGAGTCGCGAGTTCGATTCCAGTCAAGGGCAAGGACCTCGGTTGTGATTTGTCCCCAGCCCTGGTCGGATCGTGCGGGAGGCAGCCAGTCGATGTGGCTCTATCACGTCGATGTTTCTCTCTCTCCCTCTCTCTCCCTCCCTTCCACTCTATCTAATGATACATAGAAAAATATCCTCCGGTAAGGAATGAAAAACAAGAGAAAAGAAAAAGAACCACACAGACAATAGTGTGGTGATTACTAGGGGAAAAAGGGGTCTGGGGGAGGTGGAAGAGGGTCACGGGATGAACTGTGATGGAAGGAGACTGGAGTTGGGGTGGTGAACACAAAACACAATATACAGATGATGTATTGTAGAATTGTACCCCTGAAACCTATATCATTTTATTAACTAATGTTACCCCAATAAATTTAATAAAAATTAAAAAATATCAAACTGTGATAGCACTATGAAAAAAAACAAAGCAGGGTCCGGCCAGTGTGGCTCAGTGGCTGAGCATTGACCCTGCACCAAGAGGTCACTAGTTCGATTCCCGGTCAGGACACATGCCCAGGTTGTGGGCCCGATCCCCAGTGGGGGGCATGCAGGAGGCGACCAATCGATGTCCTCACTCATCAATGTTTCTACCTCTCTCTCCCTCTCCCTTTCTCTTTCTCAAAAATCAATAAAGGGAAAACAAAAAAATACAAAGCAGGGGTGCAGGGAGGGATACAGGCTGGCACCTCTCACGTCAGTTTCTTCCCTAACCCCCGCCTCTCTGCCAGGCCCAGAGCCCTCTGAGCGTGTGCGGGAGGGGCTCATGCAGGCATTCTGTCCTGAGCGTCATCGCCCGGGCTCTGGCACTTGCGCAGGACAGGCAATGTCATCACTGTCACTCCGGCAGGCCGGGACAGCACACACACTCACCAACGGCTGCCTTCACCAGCTGGGCACTGGCTGGGGCTTTCTGAACACCGGGACCTCCTCAGAACACATTGCACGCTCCTGAGAAGACCAGGGGATCCCTATAGCTGCCCACGTCTGTCTCGAGACGGGAGCAGGGCACCGGCTGGGTGTGTCTGTATCCAGAAGCTCACCCTTGCTTTGATTAGCTCAAAAGGCCAGCGTCATGCTTGCATCACCGGGCCTGCATTTGGCATCGCATGCAGCCCCCCACCAAGTCTCCCTCCGAGCACCATCCCTCCATCGCTCAAGGCACTGTGCAGTGGCTCGGCCACCGCCTCTGCCCTGGACCCCTGCGGTCGCCTCCTCTCTGGATTTCAGAATCCGTCCTGGTTTTCCTACACTGTAGCCAAAGTGGTCTCTATAAATGTGAAGCTGACCAGGTCCAACGTTCCGATGTTTGCTCCTGGTTTTTAGTCTAAAACTGCCCAGTGTTTCATAGGACCCCAGCCTGCCTTTCCATGTCTGTCTCATGCCTCATACGTCTCTCTCTGTTCTAGCTCATCTTTCCTTCTTTTCTCTCTTTCTCTCTCTCTCTCTTCCTTCCTTCCTTCCTTCCTTCCTTCCTTCCTTCCTTCCTTCCTTCCTTCCTTCCTTCCTTCCTTCCTTCCTTCCTGTTAATCTTCACCCGGGGATATTTTCCCACTGATATTTAGGTAGAGTGGAAGGGAGGGAGGGAAGGAGGGAGGAAGAGGGAGAGAGAAACGCCGATGTGAGAGAGACACACTGGAGCCGGGGATAGAACCTGCAACCCTTCGGTCCGCGGGCCTACGCTCTAACCACCGAGCAAACCGGTCAGGGTTCTAGCACAGCTTCGATTCCCCAAATGCCCATGAGCTCCAGCCCCAGGCTTCCGCACAGGCCATTTCTCCCGCCGCGGGCACTCTGCCCACTGCCCTTCACCTGGCAAGCCATCACCCTCAGAGCCCAGACAGTTGCTTAGGGAGGCCGAGGTGGGTCCGACTGCACAGAACCTGCCCCTGAGTCCCCCTCCGTAGCCGGTTCCTCAGCCCGCGATAACGCCCAGCAGCCCAGCTGTGCGCGTTGCCCCCACGCGCGGGCGCACCTGCGTTTGCTCGGTGCGTGGGGCGGACACCTGCGGGATCCCCGGAAGCAGGACCTCGAGTGCTAACACAAGGAAAGTCCCCCGGCTACCCGCGAACCCGTTTTATAAAATATACCTACAGAGACAGCATGCTAGTACGGCCTCTGGAACACTGGAAGTGTTTGCTGAAAATAACCTTGAACGTACCCTGTGAGGAGGTACATGCAGTCACGTGAAATGAACGCACCTGTGCGCCAAACCTCATACACCCCGGCAAGGGGCATGAGGGAACTTTTGGGGGTGCTGGACATATTTTGCATCTGATCTGAATGGCGATTACATGGATGTAGGCGAAACGAGCCACGTGTGTGGAATTAGCACCTCTTCTGTATTTCCCTGTATACTTCACAACCCGTTTCCTCCCCAAGAAAGCACCACACACAATAGTCACGATCACCTTTCTCCCCCAAACCACACACGTGTCTCCCTTAAACACAGATGTGTTTGCCCATCTCCCTCCTGCCTGGCGCTGTCCTGGGCTGTAATATAAGCACGTATGGATGCTTAAAAAATTAGCTCATTTTCAACGTGCATCTGTCGATAAAACTAACCAGTATTTCCTCTCTTATGTTTACAGCCTGCTTTTAATATGGGCTATATAATTTTTTTCAATGAACAATTTTCTAGAATTTCAGATGATCTCCTTTCCTACAGTCTAGTCAGAGATACTGCACAAATCACAGAAACTGAGGATATGAAACAGTTTCTTCATGTCCTGCACTGAGCCTGAGTTACAGCCCAGGTTACTCTCACCACTAGGTGGCAATAACCTAAGTAAAACGAAATGGAGCTGAAAGAAACTTTATGGAAGGGTAACCAAAACAATTTAGCCTTGTTTTTTCTTTCCTTCTCATAAATTCTGCAAGGAAATCTATATTTCTGTTGTAATGCTGGCACCCAGTAATACCAGTAATAAATCTGATGACCAATATATAAAATTTTATCTTATGAAATGAGTGTGCCTGAAAAATCGACTTCAAATACACTTTTTATGTCGTTAGGTGTCCCAATGCATTACTTTTTAAACTTACCTTAGACACTGGTGCCAGTTCTATGACTCTATCCAATATAGATCACCCCCCACGTGTATATCTTGACCAGTAAGTCAACTGAAGTCTCTGTGGTTTAGTTTGTCATTAAGTCGTTTTTCTTTTCTCCCACGTTCATTACCATCCAGTCTTCCAAGACACTTCCAGTGTCTCCCTCCCACCTGTCAGTTTCCCTTCCTCCCTTTAATTATAATGAACAACTTCTTATTAGTTTTCTAAAATTGTTTTTAGAGTTTAGAGAGAGGAAGGGAGAGAGAGAGAAACATCAATGTGAGAAAGCAACACTGATTGGCTGCCTTCCGAGCACGCCCTGACTGACCAGGGGTAGGACCTGCAACCTGGGTATGTACCCTGATTAGGAATCGAACCCTCCACCTTTTGGTGTACTGGATAGCACTTCAACTAACCGAACTACACCAGCCAAGGCTTATTAGTTGCTTTTTGTTTTTTTATTTTTTTATCCTCACCCGAGGACATTTTTTGATATTTTGTTCAGATAGAGTGGGAGGGGGAGAGAGAGAGAGAAACATCAACGTGAAAGAGACACATCGAGTGGCTGCCATCCACACGACCCAACCAGGGCCAGGGACAAACTGCAACCAAGGTACATGCCCTTAGCGGGAACCGAACCCGGGTCTCTCCAGACCGCAGGCCTACGCTCTAACCGCTGAGCAAACCGGCCAGGGCTGTTTTTGTTTTTTAAAGAAGCAAGGGACTGCCTGGCTGGTGTGGCTCAGTGGTTGAGCGTTGACCTATGCACCAAGAGTTCACTGGTTGGATTTCGGGTCAGGACACATATCCAGGTTTGGGCCTTATCCCCCGTGGGGGTGTGCAGGAGGTGGCCCATCGATGTTCTCTCTTATTAATATTTCTATGTCTCTCTCCCTCTCCTTTCCTCTCTCTCTAAAATCAATAAAGAAAAAAATTTCTTTAAAAAAGAAGCAAGGGACATTGTTAATTGTTGTAACTCTTTTAACGGGGTCTCTTTTCTTCCTAAAAGCTTGGGGAGTAACGCACTGCACAGCCTGGATTGGCCAATAAAACCAGTTCGTTTTGTCCTAGACAGGAGGCTGAGAGGAGCCCCCGAAGCCGGGACTGACGCACTGACAAGTCCTGTATCACAGGGTCGGCTCGTCGGCTTGGTGGACCACTCCCTCCCCGCCTGCCCTGTTACCGGTCACCTGGCCGCAGCGCGGCAGTAGAGGGCGCTTGTCCGAGGCGTTCTCCCGCTGCGCTCCGAGACAGAGGCCACGGAGGACCCGAGCGAAAACCCAGCGCCGGGCGTCGCCCAGCAAAAGGATGGGTGTGAATACCCCACTCGTGAAAGAGGAGGGCGGGGGGCTTGGAGGAGGGAGGCATTTTTTACGAGCTTTTCTCTTTTCCTAGTTTTCCGATTTTGTCGTCGATGTCTTGTGGTTCGGAGGGGGTGTTTGTATCGTCCAGCAGAGGAAGTCGGAGGGTGCGTCCCCTGGTGTCCGGCTGTGCGGTTGCCAGAGGACTGGCCTGCTCCCTGCCAGGCGGCAGCTTGCCCTTGCAGCTCGGGGAGTCCCTGCTTGCCGCCTCATGCCCGCTCTTGGAGGTCATTCTTGGTTTGGTGAAACCATCCACCATCCCAGTGTCTCCAACTTTTGCCCCTTGCCCCTCGCCCCACGGAGCTGTCTTTTGTGAAGGTCGTGACTCTGGGCTCGAAGGGCCCCCTGTTTTATCTTCATGTAGATCCGCATGGGGACTGAAACCTTCCGGAAGGAAACCGGGGACCACACTTGACTGAGCAGATACTCCACACAGCCCTTGTGCCTGTGTCTGGGCGCGAGGCCCAGGGCCGTCTGTCCCGCCGCCGGTCTGCCTCCCAGGGACAGCGCACGGTGGTTGACAAAGGCCTTCAGCGTGGACAGCTGGCCCGCTTCCGCCGCCGCATGAATGGGACACTTGGAGACATCGGCATGCTGGGCCTCGCGGCACCAAGCCACCCCCCACCGCCTGGCCGGGCCGCACCCCGTCCTGCAGGGCGCATTCGGGAGCTCCATGTGGCCGTAAGAGGCGGCGACGTACAGGGCCACCCGCTTCTGGAACCTGGAGGAGCGGGCAAGCAGGGGTGCGGTGTTCAGTACTCAGAACAGAAAGGCAGTTACCCCGGATACCCCCGAAACATTCCAGTTATGAGGTTTCTTCCCAACGCTGACCCGGCTGTTCCCGGAGAGGCCTCGGGTAACACCCCGGTCGGCCGGCAGAGGCCCCGCGGGAGCGCATTACGCACCCTGCTGTGCGCGTGCAAACCACCGGGGATGGTTTCCTGGAGCCGGTTTCTTTCTTACGGAAACGAAATGCTCGGGGAAAACACCAAGCTTTCGATCAACCGGGAAAGCACTGGAAGGAACTCCGCACATTTTAGACGACTGAAAGCCGTGTCTGCCTGCTTCGTCTTTCTGACCGTCCTCTCTGGCTCCTCTCCACGGCCATCTGATCTGCACCGCTAGGGGGCGCCCCGCCAGCGCCACTCCCCGTGCCGACGCGTCCTGGCTGGTCTCTCGCCTCCATCTATTCCTCTCCAGGCTTTTCCGCACACAGGACTCGGGATTGTTTTCCTCCTTGGATTGGAGGTTGCCTGCCCTCTGTGCCGACCCTCTGCAGCTCCCTCTGCAATTGAAATTCTTACTCCTCACCTTGGCCTGTAGGGCCTCGCGTCATCTGGCTCAGCAGCCCCACTGGCCTTTTTACGCTCCTTCCAACACCCCCTGGGCATAGACCGAATGACGGGGGAGGCTGTTGAGAAAAGAGAATTGGGGAGGGAAACCTAGACAGGGTCCCACCAGGTGTCCGGGATACAGTGGACAGGGCTGTCGGACCCTTGTCGAGATGGAGGGCAGCCAGCCCCCTATCTTCCAAAATGCACAGCATGTAGCTGTGTCTGTGTCTGAGCGCTTGCTCGCTGCACCATCTTTTGATGTGTGTGTGGCTCCCCGTGTAGTTTTCCTGTATGAGGTGGATGGTTTTCCCAGGACATACAGGTCTCTGGGACCCTCTGGCCGTTAGATTACAGCCAGAGCTACATGAACACAGTGGCACTTTGGTTCCCTCATCAATTTCCTTTGAAATTTATTAGTGCAAAACAGCATCTTTGAACTGATCTGTTTTCTTGGACTGGGGAGAAGACCCTCCCCTGGATGGACGAACTGGCCTTTGCGTTCATCCTTAGCTCGCTTGTGGGAACTAGGGGCACTCTTGTTACCGAGGCCAGTGGATCCCGCCTCCCAAATGCATCTTTTCCCAGCCTGACCTTCAGTCCTGAGCCGAGGTCAGGCCACCACAGGCTCTCGGCTGTCCCCGTCTCCCTGCCTCACGCTGAAGCCAGCCCCCCCTCCAACGCACAGTTCGCCATGGCCGTGCTCTGCCGCCAATGTCCTCCAAACACTGCCTTCGCCTTTCTGTGGGCCCTGCCCACTGGCCTCTAGCTTTTCAGCCTTGGGCCACTAGCTCCCTGTCACCCTGTGACCTCCCACGTGAAACATCCTTCAGTCCCTCGAACAGCTGTTCTCTTGCCCCGTCTTCGTACACGCGGTTCCTCTGGTTTGGAACATGGCTGTTTTCTCCTGCCTTGCATCTGAGTGCTAACTCTCCAGGTCTGTTTCAATTCTCTTTCTCAGGATGATCCCTGGAGCCTGGTTGGTTCTCCATGTTATACATCCCCATAGCGCTGTGCCCCGTCAGAACACTCTTCACACTGACTGATGACAACACCCAACCCTCGTCCTGCTTGCCCGCCCCGTGCCAGGCTCGCTAATCCCTTGCAGTGACCAGGCCGTGTGATCTCCACAACAGTTCTACGAGATAGATACTAGGATCACTCCCACTAGATACAAGAGGACACAGAGGCACAGGATGGCTCTATCACTGGCCCAAGTTTGCACAATAAACCCCGAGGGGGTGGGACTTTGAACCTAGCCAGTGGGCCCTGAGTTTGTCCTCACAAACATTTTGCGATTCTGCTTGTTCAGAAATTGGTGACTGGTTTTCTGTTCCCCCTGCTGGGCCGTGAGCTCGCTGAAAAGTATGGACTGTATCTTGTTAGCTGCTATTGTCCGAGGGTCTGGCGGAATGCAGAGCAAATGCTCCATAGGTATTTTGGAATTGGGTAGGGGAATAAAAGGAGCTTTTCAGTGTGATCATTTATAGTCACTGAGCCCTTAGATTTTATTTAAATATTAAGTCCAGTGGAGATGGTTAAACCCATGAGCACTTAGGTCATCAGGATCCAACACCCAGTTGCTGGCCATGTGACAATGGGCAGATTTTCTAATATCAGTTTACTCATCTACAAAACAAGGTAAAATAGGACCTACCTCACAAAATTGTTAAGTATAAACTTAGGTAATGAATATAACACAGTGTCTGCTACAAAGTACTCAATAAAGACACACTATTAAAAGCCAAGCCCTGGCTGGTTTGGCTCAGCGGTTAGAGCATCGGCCTGCGGTCCAGAGAGACCCAGGTTCGGTTCCTGCTACGGGCGTGTACCTCGGTTGCAGTTTGTCCCCGGCCCTGGTTGGTAGTGCGGGTGGCAGCCACTCGATGTGTCCCTTTCACGTTGATGTTTCTCTCTCTCTCTCTTCTTCTCTCTCCCTCCCGCTCTATCTGTACAAAAAGTGGAAAAAGTCCTTGGGTGAGGATAAAAAAAAAAAAAGTAACAACATAGCCTGGCCGGTGTGGCCCAGTGGTTGAGCATAGACCCTGCACCAAGAGGTGGCCAGTTTGATTCCCGGTCAGGGCACATGCCCAGGTTGTGGGCCAAATTCCCAGTGGGGGGCATGCAGGAGGCGACCAGTCGATATTGTCTCTCATTGATGTTTCTATCTCTCTTTCCCTTTCCCTTCTTCTCTCTCTAAAATCAATAAAGAAAACAAATTTGTTTAATAAAGAAAAAATAAAAGTAAAAAAGTAGCACAGCTACTTCTTTGCATTTAGACAGTGAAAAAATAGAGAATTATTACTATCTCCAAATAGAAATGAATTTAAAATATTTGAATATTTGTAAAATTGCTTTCCAATCTGTCGCCTCACAGAGCCCTGGTGGGTATGTGGGCTTCTGTCAAGAGTAATCAAATCACCCACGAGGGGGCACTGTTCTAAGATACGGTGCCACTGAGTTGAAAACGAAAGGGTAATGGAGCATTTGGGAAGCTGCAGAGATACATTAAATGTCCACCCGCTTCTCTGAACCTACCCACCTCCGCGGCCCCAGCCACACATGTTCCATTTCATGCTCTGCAAAGGTCTGAATGTGGTATGAAATGCAGTTTGGAAACCTACATGGATACTTGGGCAGAGGTAGCCAAAGTTTTCAGCCAATCAGTTAGCAGACAGTGCTGCTATTTTTTAAAAAGAACACTTGAATGTGAGAATGACAAGGTACTTATTCTGATGGCTTTAAAAAGAGATGTTAAAATTCTGATTCCCAAACCCAACTGGTCACTCATTTGAATACGCAGTTCGCGGTTCCTGAGGAACCTCTACCCGAACCGCGCTCCTTCCCCAGGGCCCAGCCCTCTGGCACCCTGCTGTCCCAGTCCACAGAGACCTCAGCGACACTGTCTGGAGAGATGAGCTAAGTGGAGGGGCCACACCCCGGCCATGGAGTGCATCGCACACTCAAGGCCCTGTGGAAACTGAGTAAAAATTACTTAAATTGATTTAGCATTTGCTTTATCTCCGTACTTCAGGACTGGTGTTTCACTTGATAAGTGGCGCTGGACTTGACGTTTTTGCCCGAGGAGACAACCCATCAGAAACTCCTTCCATCCGTCCCAGACGTCCAGGCGAAGCGTTGTGCCTGTGGATGGAGAGAGGCAGGTGACCGTCCACCCCCGCGTGGCTCGGGGTCCCCACTCCGACACAGAGCTTCCCCCAGCAGAGGCGGGACTCGATGCAACAGTCACCTTGGAATAAGCAGAAAGAGGTGTTATTCTGAGCTCAGACCTGCACAGTGACTGCAGATAATGGGGGATGTTTCTTGCTGCTCTCTCAGAACGGTGCTGTGGCCACCGTCCCTGTCACCGTCACACTGGGGCTCTTGTGCTCGAGGAGGAAACAGAGAAAACGCGGCTGGACAGTGGGCTGCCCCTTGGGCTGTGGGTGGCGCTGAATGATCCTTTTGTTCCGTCCTCGCAAAGGGGGAGCTTCCGTGTTCGGAAGGCTCATTGCTGCCGGAGGATCTGCCACTTGCTCCTCAGTAGTCGGCCCTGTCCCGCTCCTGTGACGCCCCATTTCCTCTGCGCCTCAGGCAGGTGTCTCCAGCAGTGTCCCTACACACCTCTCGGGAGAAAGCCAGTGGGCCCGCCCGACCTCTGTCACCTCCCTGCAGGAGCCGGCCTCACTTACTGTGTCCAGGGCACTCTGACCTTTCCCCTGTCCTTGAGACACACCAAGTCCTCTCCCACCTCAGGACCTAAAGACTTACAACTTCTTTCGCTTCAAAGGGTCTTTCTCCAGATTTTCACAGGGGCGTGTCCTTCTCATTCAGTGTTCAGCTCAAGCATCGTGTCTTCACAGAGGACGGTCTCGGCCACCACAGCTGAAGCCATCTCTGCCACCGCGGCCCCTCCTGCTCACACTGTTATCCCCCGACCTCATTCCTACGTCCTCATGTCCCCTATCACCAGGACTCGAAATCGTCTTACCTGTGTACAGACTTCTTCCCACGTCCCCGTTAAACAGAAAGCCCCTTCAGGGCTGTCGCACAGCCTGGCCCCTGGAAGGTGCTCACTAGATACGTGGCCGACTAACAGGCGATCTCAGTGACCATAACGGCTCCGTGGACCACCCGCCCACGTGCCACCCACTCCCGAACCCACACCTCCAACCCCGCCTCTGCTGCAGCTCTGGTCCTGGCTGCCGGGGACGCTGCGCCCAAGGGACCGCACCCCCTCACGCTGCTGCAGGAGACACTTGTCCCTTCCTGTGCCAACCTGCTGTTCCCCTGCGCCTGTGTCTTCCCTGCTGCTGAAGCTGGAGGCTTGGGAGCTGCTCCTCATCCTTCCCCGTCTCTCACGCTGTGCATCCACCATCACGGAGCCTGGCTGGTTGGCCTCGGAAACATCGATGAACTGTCCCTGCCCTCGTCTCAGCCAGCTCCGCCCTGCTGCAGGCCGGGACCCTCTCTCCTGAATGTGCCTTGAGCAGCTCCCAACACGCCTCCCCCTCTCCATCCAGGTCTCTGCTCCAACGCCACCTCCCTTTCGGATCTAGAACACTGTCTCCTTACCTCCCCACGTGGTTCTTTATCCCCTTAGCCCGCTTTCTTTCACGCCTAGTTCTTGTTTCTGTTGAAAAGGTGCTGTGTTTCCGTTAGCTTGATGGGCTTGCTTTCCCCCCTGCAATGCGAGTTTCGGAGGGTAGGAGCCAGACGACTCGCACCCACTGCTCTGGGCCTGCTTTCTCAGTGTGCCTGGGTCACCGAACCGTCAGCGCATCTTTGCTGAGTGAAGTCCCGCCCACTCCCCAACCACGTGGGCACCGCTGCCCTCCTCACCCTCAGCAGCCCGCAGGCCGACCTGCCCCTCTGTGCGCACACCAGGCTGTGCCTGGCTCTGGGCCTTCTTCTGTGGCTGCCCTTCTGCCTGAATTCTTCTGACTCCTTCCCCACACCCTCCTACCAGTAGTTTCTGCTGCAACCTGGCACCATCTTGACGACACCCTCTTGACGACACCATTCTCTCACTACCCCACACAGGTGAATGAACGCACCCCTGGCGGCCACAGCATAGCTGAAACGACCACTGAGCACGTGCTTCCACGTGGGAGGCGCTGCTTTGCCAGCACTGGTGGATGCTTTCAGTCCAGGCACCGTGTCTCATCCAGTCTGCGGCTCCGTTTCAGTTACGCTGTTGGGTCACAGGAGGCCCTCAGAACGCAGGTTAATAACTGACACAGTAACCAGAAATGTGCTTGAGGGACTAGGGCCCGGGGAGCTCTCTCCCGCCCCGTGTCTCTTTGTCTGCCTTCTCTCCGCCTCTCCCAACAGGCTGCCCTGCTCACAGCTTCTGTCCTACCGTCACCTCTTTGGCTTCATGCAACATCAGCTTACCACGGCCCAAGTATATTCCATGACGCGGCTCATTTTCTGCCCCTACTGATACCCGAGTCTGTCTTTCTGCCTTTCCCAAATCGGATTTACGGGACAGAGAATAATGGATAATCATAATATATTGATTATGAACAGCTAATATTCGCTGAATACTTACTATACGCTCTGCATTATTCTCAGTACTTTCCGTGAAGAAGGTACTTTAAAATTCACAGCAGCCCTGAGTCATGGGTGGTATTACTATCTCCACTGGAGAGCAGAGGAAACTGAGGCATTCAGAGATTAGGCGACTCGCTCAAGTTTTCCACACCCAGTACGAGAGGAGCCAGGAGTTGGACCCGGTGCCCATGTCCCTGTTCTTTATGTCACACTTCTCTCCAAACAGAAGCTGACCGGCTCGGCTGTGATGGCTGATGGCCCTGGACAGCCCATGGACCGGCTGCCTTTGAGTCAATAGGACGGACTTAGCAGTAGGAGCTGGGGTGTGTGGGTGTCTTGGCCTCCCCACTCTCATCTTCAGGCTCAGACACGCGGAGGTGCACAGTGCATACTCGCAGGTGAGAAAGAAAGGGGGGGGGGGATCCGACCTCATTGGTGTTTCAGAGGCTCACAGACCTTTGAAACATGCTTACTTTTGTTAGCTGGGGTCGTGCAGAGTCACCGAGTGCTGAGGATAAAAAGATCCTAAAAGACCACTCAATTGCCCCTTTTTATAGACTAGGAAGCTGAGACCCACAGATACGGGTGCGTTGCCTGCAGTTACTCAGCAAGCTGAGAGTAGAATTCGGCCTGGAGTCTATGTCCTTTGGACACTTTCTAGGGCCTGGAAAGCCTCCCCCTCTCGTTCGCCTACACCCGCCCCCCTTTCTGCTTCCCTCTCTTCCCCTTCTTGCTTCCTCTCCAGGACAGACACACATCTAAGCATGGCCCTCTCTGCTGACCCTTCCCGTCCTGGAGGTTCCGTGCCATGACCTGTAACCCTGAAACCAGGCTGTCCCTCTGTTACTTGGTACTGCGGTCTTGTATGTTTGACCTTGGCCTCGCTTTCTCTTGTGGGTTGATTCCTGTTTGCCATGCGTGTTTGCACAGGGCCTGACCTCTTCCCCTACCTGCCTCCACCCACACGGACCGGCCTCCGCTGGGACCGGTCACTCTGTGCTGGAGAATCGTGGGATTGTTCTGTGCAGACCCAGCAGCGGTTCTGCAGGTGTCCTGGGGAAGCGCTCCTACAAACTTCTCCCCAAATGTGGGTCATCCTCGACACGATCGATTCCGTTTCTCCAAGGCCTGTGCTGAACTTGGACGTCCGTGGCCAAGGTCCGCACTGGGGGTGCCGTCCCAGCCAGTTTGCCTCTGTTGCTGCCATGGCTACAGTTCCTTGGGAAATCGACATTTACTTGAAATCGCTGCGTTGTTCCAGGAAATACAGCTAAAATCTGTAACCGGAGCGAAAGCAAAGCTAACGAGACCTACGCTGCAGGGCCTCCCGCTCGATGAGATTTCTCATGCTCTATTTTTAATTTTGGGTTGGTTTTTTTTTAAAGGTTTTATTGATTTTTTTTTTTTTTTTTAGAGAAAGAGGAAGGGGGAGAGAGAGAAACCTTGATTGGCTGCCTCCTGCACGCCCCCCACTGGGGATGGGCCCACAACCTGGGCATGTGCCCTGACTGGGAATCAAACTGGTGACCCCTTGGTGCAGGGTCGACGCTCAACCACTGAGCCGCACTGGCCGGGCTAGTTTTCTACTTTGTATGTCATTCATTCATATGTTCATTTACTCCCTCGACCTTACTCCCTTGACATTACACTATGTTCAACCACAGGCCCCTGCTAGGTCTCGCCGAGGCTCACCTTCTGCCTTTCTCGATCTTACCAGTTGCCCGATGCAGACTGACCTGCCTCTCCCAGGCCCCCACTAGCAGCACTTCCTGGAGGCTCAGCTCCTTCTGCTACATATCTGCAGGTGGGTTCTTCCTGGCCCACCGGCCTCCCCTAGGGGTGGCCTCGCCTCAGGGTCCAGCTCTCCGCCCACCGCGAGGAGCCCATTCTGAACACTACAGTGCAGGCGTGACTGAACCCTCCGCAGCAGTAGGGCACGTCCACCAAGCCTCGGACGTCATTGCGCTTCAGTTCCCTACCTGGGAGCAAATGTTACAAGTATCCACTTCAGCTCCCTGCGGTGAGGCAGCCCTCATTTCTAAAAGGACACCCATAATAGTGGATCTTTGTTTCTGTTAACGTTCCGTGCTCAGCTGTTGTGTGTCCAGAGAATCTCTAGGCAAGTTTACCAGCGCCATTTACTGGCGAATCCTTCCATCCCAATCCATCTGCAACGCCTGCTTGGTCGCCCGTTACCGTTCTCATCAGCCTGGGAGCTCCGCTGGGAAACAGACATTCACCGGAAAGCGCTGTGTTGTTGCGGGAAACACCGCTAAAACCTGTAACTGGGGTGAGAGGAAAACGGATGAGACTCAAGCTGCAGGGCCTCCCACTCGATGAGCTTTCTAATGCTCTATTCTTAACGTTGGACTCTTTCCTAAGGGACCCCTCAAATTGTATATATTTACGAAACCTGGATCCACCCAATCTGTGTGCAAACCAACCCACCTCCCGTGTCCCAGCCATCCGCAGCAGCAGGCGTGGCCCACGGTGCCTCTCTAGGGAACCGTGTCCAGCCCCCGCCGCGTGGACCCTGTGTCCCAGGTTCATGGACGGACCCTCATCCACACTCCGAGGTCGACAGCTGC